AGATACAGGATTTTAGTGTATATATAGAGTTCAATTGCCTCATAGGATTATGTAGGTAATAGATACGTATTAGCCAGTTCAGTATCTTTATATATAAATATGGAATGTCTGTTATATATACTTTATACTCATATTGAATAATGTAGAATGATATAACCTTAGTATACTATGTTAATTTTGGTATATATTCAAAGGATCCACAGTTGAACATTCTTTGGAGAAAGTTGAAATTATTTGAAATAACTATTGCTTTTAGCTTCCCTTTTTGCTGTAGGACATCACAGTTGTTTATGCATTAATTCAGCATTTGGTAGCTAGTAAAGATCATATGAAACATTATGTGGACATAGTGATAATAATAAAGAAAAATTGCAGTTCCTTTTTTGGAATTTAGTTGTATCTGGTCAGGTTGATTTGAGTATTGCTGTTAATACTGTTGGTTTTCACATGCAGCAACATCTTGGTAATATCTCAGCCTGCCACCAAAGATGATTTCATGTGACAAATCTGCTTAGAGGTGGAAAAAAGTGTACAATATGATTATTTTCTAGTTATCAGTCTATAGTCATTGTTTCAACATCAAACTTCTTTGATATAACCATCTGGCTTTGGGGTATTTTTTCCTATGAATAGAAAAACAGGCAGTTAACTTTTTAGGCTGTATATTGTCTGCTTTTATATCGCTTGCAAGGAATTTTTAGGGTTAGAATTTTTATTTGAGCTTTTTAGAGTGAGCTGATTTTTAATGGATGTGATATATATATTCTAGGTTTAGATTATACAAATATGTATCAATTTTTTATAGAGAGAAAGCAGGGCTAGATTTCTAATATATATCCATCAGTTTGAAGTTGTGATATATCCATGTGAACATAAAAGACAAAGAAATCATGAAATGTATTCATTCTCAATATTTGGAATTCATTTCATGATCGTATTCTCCATGGGAAGGTTTCATCCAGATACAGGATTTTAGTGTATATATAGAGTTCAGTTGCCTCATAGGATTATGTAGGTAATAGATACGTATTAGCCAGTTCAGTATCTTTATATATAAATATGGAATGTCTGTTATATATACTTTATACTCATATTGAATAATGTAGAATGATATAACCTTAGTATACTATGTTAATTTTGGTATATATTCAAAGGATCCACAGTTGAACATTCTTTGGAGAAAGTTGAAATTATTTGAAATAACTATTGCTTTTAGCTTCCCTTTCTGCTGTAGGACATCACAGTTGTTTATGCATTAATTCAGCATTTGGTAGCTAGTAACGATCATATGAAACATTATGTGGACATAGTGATAATAATAAAGAAAAATTGCAGTTCCTTTTTTGGAATCTAGTTGTATCTGGTCAGGTTGATTTGAGTATTGCTGTTAATACTGTTGGTTTTCACATGCAGCAATATCTTGGTAATATCTCAGCCTGCCACAAAAGATGATTTCATGTGACAAATCTGCTTAGAGGTGGAAAAAAGTGCACAGTATGAATATTTTCTAGTTATCAGTCTATAGTCATTGTTTCAACATCAAACTTCTTTGATATAACTATATTCTAGCTTTGGGATATTTTTTCCTATGAATAGAAAAACAGGCAGTTAACTTTTTAGGCTGTATATTGTCTGCTTTTATATCGCTTGCAAGGAATTTTTAGGGTTAGAATTTTTATTTGAGCTTCTTAGAGTGAGCTGATTTTTAATGGATGTGATATATATATTCTAGGTTTAGATTATACAAATATGTATCAATTTTTTATAGAGAGAAAGCAGGGCTAGATACCTTTGCCCTCATACTTGGTCTAGTTAGATGTGAATGAACCTCGGAAATCGTCCTCATGTGTTCCCCCATATTCTTCACTCTCACGTCGGACAGAAAAACGGTAACAGAGCTGAGGGGAATTCCCTGAACCGAAATGAATGGAAATCAAAAACGAACCTTGTTTATTGAAATATTCCCACCAATGATTGTAATGAAATTGAGCAGCCTTTTTTTTCTCTCTCTCTCTCTCTCTCTCTTTCTTTTTTTCTTTTTTTCTTTTTTTCTTTCTTTTTTTCTTTCTTTTTTTTTTCTTTCTTCCTGAATTAATGTTGCCTTATCATGCATTATCCCTGTCAGAAATTGCACAAGATTTTACTATGCTCATTGATTGGTTTTAGAAAGTTAGCAGAGTTTGTGAGTCAGCTAGTGCATTGTTAATGCTATTTCCCCATAAGATTTTGTACAGTTTATCTTTGTTTGGTTCTCATTCTGTTGACTGCTGAAGATGAATTTAATTATTGTAAAAAGAAAGAAAAAGAGAAAAAAAAATTAGAGTAGTAACGTCCCCCATATTGATTTGTACTCCTCTGTGTTATAGGTTTATTATATATTTTGATGAACAGAATTGAGAACTTTATAGTCCACCTATCTGGCTTGAATGCTTTTTGCAAATGCAAATGAGTTATTACATGAGAAATTATACATGGCTAGAATCCAAACCTTTCCTCTCTCTCTTTTTTTTTTTTTTTTAACCAAGTCACTTTTTTTCTTGTGTTTTTCTTGTATTGCTGATTTTGGTGAGTGCAGATAAAGCAAAGCTAATACAGATATTGCAGATATTTTATGTCAGTGAGTAACGGTTTGTATTTTATCACCAAGGTAGAAAGTTTTTATATGCAGTTAGGTATGAATACTTGGGGACACGAGAGTATAAATAATAGGATTTATAACCCCTATTCCTCTAGTTCAGTCATATGTAAATAAGGCTTCTAATCTGCATCGCATTAGTAAATCAGATGTTTTAAAAATTGTGTATATATAGAGAGAGAAAAAGAGAGTGAGGTAGCTAGATTGATTTATATTAGATGTATATACATGAATAGAGATTTATTTGTTTATATAATTGCATACAAGTGTAAAGTTATGGATAAAGGTGTTTCATGATAGAAACTTCAATGTCCTCCTGGCCTAAAGAACAAGGCACACCTTATATGGTTGTTCAGAAGGTGATTTGAAGCATGTAATAGAGAGTTTAGAATTTTAATTGTATCACATAGCTCTGTGTCAGGTGTTTTCACACATTTTTTTGTTAATTATCTGTGTGGAGTGTGAGAGAGAGCAAAAATGTTTCCATAGATGATTATTTTGGGATAATTTGCAGAGCCAGAGAATGTGGATGTTGGGTATTTTGGGTTGTTGATGTGGAGAATTTTGTTTGTTTGATTATTTTCTTTTGTCAGGGATCTTAGATTATGTAGTTATTTATATACACTCCTTTATAGTGCAGTGAATTTTGTTTATTAATGGTAATAGTTTAAGTATGGTAAGGATGTAGGATATGCCTGAAAAATTACACTATTGATATGAACATCCAAAGTGCCATTGCTGACTGTCTTAAACCTCTTTATGCCAGGATGGCATGGAGATATATACCATGTTGAATGTGATTTTTGTTTATTAATTTTGTGTGCACATTGATGGCTCCACAAATGCTTAGTTGCCAAGGAGTCAGTTCCTAGTCCTACCTGATCTCTCCTGCCTACCAAGTTCCTTGATTTTTGGAATGCTTTTTATTCTATTTTTTATTACTCTTAGTATTGTTGATAACAATAAAATAACCATATTGTCAGTGGTAATGATAATAACAGTAATAATGATGATCATGATAATGAAGTTACAAGAAGTAGACAGATCAGGTAGTATCAGTTAGGCCTAATGGTCAACACCTCAATGACTAAGCACAGGTAGAACCACCTTTGGATAAACAAAATTCTCAAAACAAATTACAGTGAACAGCCTATGTACTTGGCACCAATAGGTTAATATAACTAGCTATTTAATCTTCATGCCACCCATTTCAATTTATACTGTAGTACAGTGTTGATACTTTTTGGAAAAACAGTACAAATCTGCAGGATCTGCCATGTGATTATGTACTCAGTAGCAGATATGTCGGATGGTTTATAGTGGTCTGTATAATCTAGCACAGCTGCTTGTTCGTATGTTTCCCACACCCTCGGTAGGTGGACGGACGAGTGGTCAATGCGACAAATGTAGAAAAAGTGTGAATGAGACCAATTTTGACTCTATCTTCGTCAAAAATACAGGAAATCTTAATGAAGATGTTGGCAGAATGGTCATGTACATCTCTTGCACTATGAAGATGCAATTATCATTGATACCTTTTTCTGCACTCAGAAGGTGTGAATATGTATGGATAGATTACTCGTCTGTGAACTATAATGTCCTTCACCTCTGTGCTTAGAACCTAATGAGAAATGTGCTACTTATTTGTTAACGGTATTGATATTGTCATTTACATTGGTGTTTGTAGTTTATTAGAAAATATGACATGTATGCTCTCAAAGAAACTGAGAGAAAGACATTTTAATTTATTATTGATATTATTAATGTTAATGTTATGATTATTGTTATATTTATTAATTTTCTTATTTGTTTATTGCAATAGAGTACCATGCATTGTGTAATTTTTATAGTAAGTATAAAAACTGTTTATAACCAAACAACAAATTATTTGTGATCAGCAGGATGGCTTGCATTACATTTTCTTTAGCTTTTCAGTTATCTAAAATATCAGAATAAAGTCCTTTCTGTCTGTTTATCACAAGTAAAATCTCATTGTAAAACATTATTTGCGTGTATGATTTCAGGAATAATTATGATAAAGAGAATAATGATAGAGATTATGATAAGAATTTTTACAGTGTTGGAAGTTCTCTTCTTGTAGTGTATTTGTTCCACACTTGCCTGAGTCTGACATAAATATTCAGAAATGCATGTTCCATAAGTATTTGTATGCTTAAATATATATATATATATATATATATATATATATATATATATATATATATATATATATATATATATATATATATATATGAGTTTATTTTTATAATTGTGTTTCCAAAGATTAAAGTCAGGAAGGAAGTGTATACCTTGAAAAGTATAATGTACAGAAGTTTGAAGTTACAAGCATTTGATGGCCTTTCAGACGTCAGGAAGAACTCCAGTCAGAAAAGGAGGAGATCGACCGGCAGCGGAAGCTCTTAATGAAGCGGAAACCCTCAGAGGGAGGAAGCAACTCTAGGAAACGGGGATCAAATAGCAACCAGAGTCAGGGTGGCAGTAATCTTCCGAATGGCCTCGGAGGTGATCACGACCACAGGGACCTCACTATCCAGGAATACTACGAGTCAGAAGAAATACTAAAGGTATGTTGGGGCCGCGATAAGGCCTTCTCTGGTGTTTTTATAGTAGGTAGTGGTAATTTTTTTTCTTTGTAAGTATCTTGAAAAATAGGGTTCTTTAATTACTACATATGCTCTTTGAATATCTTAGCTCAGTGGGTTGAGGTTTCCCAGTACTGACAAAGTATTTGGTGCCACGAGAGATTCAGACCTCAACTGTTCTTAGTTCACGGGATGGTGGCAACCTGTAGATCCCTTTCATCAAGGCTACACATCACTCATTGTCTACCTATCTTGTTTATTTATTTATTTATTTATTTATTTAACTCTCCGTCCTATTAACAGTTGTTTCTAAATTTTTACCTCTGATGCTAACTTTAACCTATCCCCGACAGTAGGAGAAATGACACTATCTATCCCTGGTGTAGGTACTAGATGAAATACATTGTTAACCTTTTGAACATAGTTGGTATATAATCCTGTGATGGTTGTGGTGAACCTCATAATAACTTACACGACACCATGTGCTTGTCGAGAGAGCTCATTTTTATCCAATAGTAGTGACATCATTTGTTTGGGGCCACTATTAGATACAGGCTGCTAAAGTTAAGAGAAACAGTAAAAAAAAAAAAATTCAAACAGTTACTAGGTATTAGGTGCCTGATGTACATTAGATACAGAATGAGCTGTGCCAAACCCACTTTATTGGCCACTAGCTAATCTAACTTGCTATTGTGATTAGTAGATTGAGGTTATCTTATACACTCACCCCCAAAATTATATTAATATTTTTAAGTATTGTGAATTTAGGACAGAACTTTTAATGTTAGAATATTGATCATGTCAGTATTGTGTGAGAGAGAAAGCAATCTTTCTTGATTTTGATTTCATGATGTCATTCATTTACACTATATTATATGAGTAACCTATTTTAAATTGTAATGAATAATAATACAAACAGTAATTGACTATTGCTACTTAAAAAAAGAAATGAAAAAAATAAAAAAGGCGATAATCCATGCATGCCAGAAAAGACATGTCACAATATCCTGTATAGTGTTCCCCTTGATATGCCAGTTCACCCACAATATCACTCTTATACACCACAAAATTGGAATTCTGCACCCACCCCTGGCACCATCCAAACCTAATCACCTTTTCCCGGGTGATTCTTCACCCTTTGACACTACTGGGTGTCATAAGAAATGATAATTCCTTGTTCATTTTAACCAGCAGCTGTTTTCTTTCTAATCCTTGTCACTCCTATGGGTGTGCTGGATTTTCTTCTTTCTTCTTTCCTTTCTTCTATGCCTTATTCTTGTGGTCTGTCCAGAGAGTGCCTTACATGTCCTAAAATGTTTCACAATGTTTATGTATTACCTTTTGCAGGATATCAGATATATAATGATTTTCATCCATAACCCTAAGTATTTGCTAATGCGAAATCTTTTACTGTTATGCAATTGTGAATTTTTTGTTATTTCAAAAGTAGAAGTTTTGGAGTGTGCTAACTATGCTCATATTTCTATACATAGTATTATTATCTGTTTTGTCTCCCGCGTATGTTTTTCACCGTGAAGCAAAATGCACTATATGAGAACTTTCTTTACCCCTCCACAGTTACGGCAAACTGCACTCAAGAAAGAGGACACAGACCTTCAGCAGGAGATGGAGAAATTAGAAAGGGAAAGAAATCTACATATTAGGGAACTCAAACGAATTCACAATGAGGACCAATCAAGGTAAGTAGAGAGAAAAAAAAAAAAAAAAAAAAAATGGGACCAGAACTAGGATTTAGAAAAAATTCTGTGGTCCTCTTTTCTTTCTTTCTTCTCTCTTCTTTTTTTTTATTATATTTTCTCTTTTAGAGAGCGCTTGTGTTTGTAAACAAAGTGACATTTTTTTTGTGATTATCTCTTTATTTTCCATGAAAGATGAATGAGCTGAAATATATTTACATTGTTCTTTACCAAATGAGAGTTATTCTGACTAGAATTTAGTCATCTTATCCAGTTGTAAAGCCATAAATGACATCTCAAGAGAGATTCAGAAGGGAAGAACAACCCAATTGCCACAGTATGCAATATTTGCAACTGGAAGTCCTTAGTTGTATATCAAAATTCCTGTGCAAGTCCCAGTGAACTCAAGGTTATGCACTTTCAACCATCAAGTAATACTCCATGAAATAATTTTATATATATATATATATATTTTTTTTTTCATTATTTGATACTTTGCATGTATCCTTTGCTGTTGTCTAGTTTTCAAGTTGAGAGTTATATAAATTGGAAAGGGAACGCTGGTAGAGGGGCCTCGATATTTTGTTAATCTCTGATTTATTTAATTTTACGAAGGATTTTTATATAGACCTTCCTTTCTAAAGTCTTTTAACATTTTTCAAAATAATCATTGCAGTCAGGACATCTCAAAATTACCACAAGTAATTAAGGAACTAAATTCTATAGTGCTGATCTGCTTTCCTAAAAGAAATATATATGTAAAAAATGATGATGATGATGATGATGATGATGATGATGATGATGATAATGATAATGATGATGATAATGCATTCAAAAGTTTAGCAAAGGATTTTGAAATGGTTTCTTGAGTTTTTTTGTTGTTTTTTTTTTCTATTGTTTCATTGATTTCTGTCATATCATTAGTAATATGGAGAATAAATAGATATTAAATACTGTAGGTCACTGGGAAGGAGGAGGCATTATGTCGAATAGGATATATTGATTCTCAATTGTTTTTTGTTCCTCCTTTATTTTTTGTGGTGCAGATCAGTGACAGTCTAAATAGCTTAAGGGAAATAACAGTATTCCAAATAGTTAACTGAAACTGCTCATTTTGATCATTCATTTTGATTATCATAATCTTCTTGATTGCCAGGGTTACGCACATTGTTTATAGTTTTCTTGTTAGTTTGTTTCAATTTTTATTGTTTGTGTATTTGTGAAAGTCTGCAATGTATAATTGTTTGACTTTTTTAGTTTTTGTGCATATTGATTCATAGATCATACTTTCTTCCTTTTCTCAAAGAGTTTGCTCATGTTTGTTTGATATTTGTTGAACTTTGGAGAAAGATCACATGGAAATATGTACAAAGACTGTCTGGTTTAATTTTGAGCAGTCACATATAAAAAATAAATAAATAAAAAAATAAATAAATTCAAGAGCAAGGGTCTTGGACATGCTTGTGTTGTGATCAGTTTTGATGTAGCATAACCTATGTTGGTACAGCATACCACTTCTTGGGGCAGCATACCCATTGTTGGTACAGCATATCCTACATTGGTACAATATAACCTCTCTTGGTGCTGCATATCATTTGATGATACAGCAAACCATTTGTTAGAAAAAAAACATACTCTGCTTTGATGCAGGATACCCATCCTCAAATGCATCCTCTTTTGTAATGACCAGGAGACTCCGAGTTTGTGTCCCTATCAAAGTTGCTGGCCATGGTAATCCATGGTCTTGTTTGTGGCTTTCACTTTGGGAATTGTCAGTCACATCAGCTTGCCATTATGTGCAGGGCAGTTTGGTGGATTTTTTTGCCCAAGAGTTGATCACGATTTTTGCTATGTTGCTAATGCAAACAGCTGGAAGAATAATCCAGGAGAAAAACAAAAGCAGGATGTTTTCTCAGGTTGTATCGTGTCTTGTTTTTGGTTTAGTCTTTTTTGTTTCTGTGATTTTACATGGCAGTTAGGACCTGATTTTGACGTATCAATTAGTATGTCTTTTTTTTTTTACATCATTGACTCCAATTCGTTTACAGTTCCCCAGGAGAAGTAATTATTATGAGATATATATTGGATTCTCCACTTTAGAGATTCAAGCCTCTATAAGATTTAAGTTGCACCTGTTGCTGTCAAGAAGAAACACTATATATATGTATTTTTTTTTATTTAGATGTACTTTAATCCATAGCTGCCGGGGAAAATGAACAAAAAATGGGGAAAATGCTGTGCCTATTTTCTATACTTTTTTGTTAAATGTCTGCCTATAGATGGCTCTGCTAGCGCCTGATTTGAAATGGCGGGAAAAACGTATTTTTCACTAGTGCCATGAATATCGATGGTGTTATTTTTATTATAAACATTATAATTTTTATAATGTTTTTTAACATTAGTAACAGCAAAATAAGATAACGTAAAATATTTTGTAAATCAAAGAAAAGGGTGAAGGTACTCATAACTGGCTCATTGGTGATTTAGTACAAGTGTAGCCATCTATGTGTAAAAACAATCCAACAAGTAATCTCACAGTGGGCATGGCATGGCATGCCTGGCGGGAATGGGTTAACTACATTTCCTGACAATGATTGATGTAGTAGACCTCATACTGTTACTTTTTTTATCACTTGAGAATATTGTCTTGTGGTTTGTGATGAGTATATGCATCCCATATATTCACTCCAGTGGAAACCTCACAGTTGCTTTAATTGTTCTTGAGTTCCAATTGAGGATTTTTCAGTTTTACCATCTAAGAAAGACTAGTTAACTAGGTACTATGATAAAGGTTGTGTTGTGCTAGATCTGTGTTGACATCACTGCAAGGGAGAAGGTTATAATTTTGAAAATGAGTGTATAACTGTTAATTCTCAAGTATGTTAGCAACTAAGTGCTGATGGGAAAATGTATGTTCACTGTAGTAATGTTTTGTGAAATGTTTCTACATCTAGTTGGCTCCGTAAGTGCTTAGCCACCAAAAAGTCAATTAGTCAACCTCGGAAACTCACCTGACTTCACCTTTCCCCGAGTTTTTTTTTTTCTGATGCTATGACTGTTAATGCTGTTTTCACTATTATAAACATCTTTAAAAAGAAAAGAAATAAATAAATAAATAAAAATCAAGGGAAAGAGTAAACAGGTTGAGATAGATAGTATTAGTAATTGGCTTATTGGACACTAAAGACATGTGGAGCCATCCATGTGTAAAGACAATAAACTTACTCTTAGTGGGCGTGACATGTAGGTACGTGTCATTTCCGACAGCACTGGGTTGATATTTCTCACACATTTTGATCAACATGTCACATTTTTTTAAACGCTGAAAAAGTCATTGTGACAAGATTTTCTCTTTACTCTAACATTTAAGATGTGGTTGATATGATGATAAAAGAAAACCTGTATGCCATTCTCGCATACTGTAGGAAGTACTGAGAAAAGCAGCATGGGCGAAAAGGACAGTTACATTCCAAAACAGATATTATTTGTGCTTGCATTTATCTTTACCTATTTGTCTGAGTATGTATACAGATTAATGTTTGCATGTGTGCATGTAATGCCACAGAGAATTTTATATATTGATTTTACAGTTCATCATCATACAGACATAAGCTAATTTCTTCCTCATATTACTGTCAGCTTGCTTACTGGCTTTCTGCAGTTTTATCAAGCCTTATTTCACTTGTAATACTATTAACAGTTGGTTATGAAGAATGGTAATGATGATACAGTACCTTAGCAAAAGATTATTTTGACAACACTAAATAAAGGTGGTATCTTTAGTGGAGGAGGAACTTGTCCAGCAAAGTAAACCCCCCAATTTTTTTTTTGAAGGAGGAGTACAGTTAATTGATCAGTTAGAAATGCAACTGTACATTATTTGTGTTTCGTATTAATAACCTATTACACATTTTCCCATTCTTTCATGGAAGAACTTTGAAAAATGCATTCAGCTTGTATATTGGAGGATGATTGTTTTCAAAATATATCAGAGTTTGCAGTAATTGTCTGAACAAAGTTTGATAAGTACATGTTTTCAGATAAGTTAATCAAGGACCCTTTTTCATCAGTGACAGGAATGAAACTTAAAAGCTGATCTAATTATATTTGCTTCAGCTTGTTCAATTGTTACAGTTACTGATTATCAGTGACTGTACTTTAGACATCTCAATTATTTGAAATCAGTGATCAGTGTTAATCTGAAACAATAAGAATATTATAGCACTTTGGATTTCTTGATGAACATTTCAGGCTATAACATTTACCAGCCTCACAACTTACTCAGAGAGAGATTCCACAGACCCTCAACATTGTTTCAGTTTGATATTGTGCTGTAATGTGAACGAATGAGTTATGTGTGGTGAGTCAGACTGGATAATCCCATGGCTCTGTATTGATACTGGTTGTTGTTCCCCCCACAGAATCCTCCAATCACAGTCTTCACCTCGAAATCCTCATGACATGTGAGTAGTAGCTGGACAACATGATTTGTATGTGAGGCTGGTGGAGAAGTATTTCTCTCCAAACACTTGGAAATCCTCCTCACTGTACTTGAAGCTATTTTTCCATAGAGATATTGAAGGAAAATTTTTAGATAATTAAACTAACGGGTAATTATATTACTCACAATTTAATCTTGAGTGTGGATCACTTTGCATCTTTTTTGGGCATTGTATAAGAGAGAGAGAGAGTGAGTGTGAGAGAGAGAGAGTGAGTGAGTGAGTGAGTGAGTGAGTGTGTGAGTGAATGAGAGAGTGTGTGAGTGAGTGTGTATTTGTTTGTTTGTTTGTTTGTTTTTGTGTGTGTGTGTGTGTGTGTGTTCATCTGCATGTGAGTGTGTATGTGCATATGCGAGTGTGCATATGCATGTCCTGATGTGATTATAGGTTTGGGAGGGTAGTTTATTGAAAAGGAAGGGTGAGGTAGAGAGGGAATGCAAGTTACAGACTTCATAATCTGTTATTATCTTGTTATATTACTGAAGTGACAAGAATGCAGATGTGATACAGGAACACAGGTAGATAAAATACAGGAATTGGCAGTTGAGGAAATACTAGGTTCACTACTCTTGGCAGAAATAACTAGAATGTAGGAAAGCTTAGGTAAAGGCAGCATTCCTTGCTGTTGCTTATGGAGAAGACACTTATTTTGTTCTTTGGTTCTTTAGTTTTTGGAAGGGTATTAATAACCCAGAGTTCCAAAGAAATAATGAGTTTAATTAGGTTCTCTTTCTTTTTTTAATTTGCTTGGAATTATCATAAACTTTTATTTTAGTTATATAAACCATGAAATTTGTTATGTAGTTTTTTTTGTTGTTGTTGTTGTTGTTGTTTATTTTGTTTTTTGTTTTTTTTCTTCTTTTTTTTTCTTTTCTTTCTTTCTTTCTTTTTTGAAATATGAAAACCAGATTACCAGTTAAGGTAACTGTTTATGAGGCCATCCCATATCAGGGAAGGTAATCATCACATTTTATTCTTTGGAAAACTCTGAACTCAAAAAAAAACAAACAAAAAGAGTTTGTGGTATGTATCAACAGGTTTTTATGTCATGTGACTTTATCCAAAAATGGTGGTAGGTGTGTTTGTTTAATTTTAAATTTATTCTTTATGTATATAATTTTTTCGTAGTTCTTTAATTCCTTTCAGTTATCTCGTTTGCTCGTTGCAATCTCCATACTTTCCATGTTATGAGACATATATAGCATACATGTTACTGTTGAGAGTATTAAGTCTTTTAGCATATAAAGATCTGTATAACTGACCCTGTATTGCACTGTAGAAGTGATGAGAAGATGTACTCCCAAGTAAAGAATGTGGGATACTATACTGAGATAATATATTTGTTTACCTGTAAGCCAATAATGGCAGGCAAAATTTTTCTGGAAAGTTGGGTAAGGGCAGGTGTTCATTAGCGCACCCTGCTCTATGCCTGGGTGATTGTCCAGCTAGTGGGAGGGAAGGCAGGCAAGGACTCATCCTGGCAATTAGGACATGGACTCATGATAGGATGAGGTGTGATTTTTTTAGCTTGACATGATAGAATTTCACCCATTGCTACAGAGTTTAACTAGAAAGTAATTAAAACTCTGTGGATAAAAATAAAGATGGGATTAGAGGTTTATATAGGATGTTGTGTTGAAAATTACCTGTCAGAAATCAAGAATCAAAAATGGTGGTAGGTGTGTTTGTTTAATTTTAAATTTATTCTTTATGTATATAATTTTTTCGTAGTTCTTTAATTTCCTTCTCAGTTTATCTCGTTTTTCTTCTTAGCTTGGTGCTGCCTTCTAATCTACTAACAAAAATTTTCAAGGTGTACATGGGACTTCAGCATGGGTACTTCTTTATATATTCTTGTCTTCACTGTTGCAATCTCCATACTTTCCATGTTATGAGACATATATAGCATACCTGTTACTGTTGAGAGTATTAAGTCTTTTAGCATATAAAGATCTGTATAACTGACCCCGTATTGCACTGTAGAAGTGATGAGAAGATGTACTCCCAAGTAAAGAATGTGGGGTACTATACTGAGATAATATATTTGTTTACCTGTAAGCCAATAATGGCAGGCAAAATTTTTCTGGAAAGTTGGGTAAGGGCAGGTGTTCATTAGCGCACCCTGCTCTATGCCTGGGTGATTGTCCAGCTAGTGGGAGGGAAGGCAGGCAAGGACTCATCCTGGCAATTAGGACATGGACTCATGATAGGATGAGGTGTGATTTTTTTAGCTTGACATGATAGAATTTCACCCATTGCTACAGAGTTTAACTAGAAAGTAATTAAAGCTCTGTGGATAAAAATAAAGATGGGATTAGAGGTTTATATAGGATGCTGTGTTGAAAATTACCTGTCAGAAATCAAGAATCGTCAGAAGTTACAAATGGATAGACAAACACAGGCAGAGACAGTCACTGATTAACCCAATGGTGACAGGTGAAGAAAAAAAAAAAAAAAAAAACTCACTTTGAGCACGTGAGTTCGGTCCATCAGGCCGAATCACTTGTTCGCCGCACTTTGGTGTGCCGCCGCGGAGTACAGCCGCACACCACTTTTCACGCCTAGCAGTGTCACCCGTTGTGAAAGGATTAAGAAAGAAAGGAGAGAGATCAAGAAAGAGAAAAGAGCAATAGGGATAACCAGATGTGCAAAGAAACTTTTATGTGTACCAGTTAAAGCATTTTCCAGGGAGTGTTATGAGAGAAAATTATGAAGGGGTTACCACCTAGTAAAAAAATTCTAAAAGATATTTAGGAAAGGGGTTATAGCCATCAATGGGGAAGGACTTTCTATGCCAATAAGCCATTACACAAAGTGGAGTCCTGTCACATCATAGAAAAAACTCAGACAGCAGATCATCTAATCATGTCATGAGCCCAGATCCTTGTAGCCTCAGGAGCCCAGCCACGAGCCAGACAGTTAGCCCAGTGGCAGAGTGTGACTGAAATTTCACCCAACGTGATGAATGGGTTGATTATAGATTTTGCAATAGAAGAGGAGGCTATTGTTAACCCGACCTGGATGGGTCACGGGTGTCAAAACTAACTGTAGGGTATGCATGTAAGCACAGCGACATGCTAGAGCGTGTGGAGTGGGACATTCCGCATTATGTCACAAACTCCCGCACCCAGTGTCTGGCCGTTGCCAGAAATCACTAGAGTTTATCATGCTCAGGGATTTCTTTTTACCCAGCGATGATGGGTTAAATTCAATGATTTATTTATTTTATTTTCCCGTTTGTTTTTTCTTTTTCTTTTTTTTTTTCTTTCTCTTCTTTTTCAATAATGGTTTTGTGTATGTGTATTGTGTACCTACTTAAAGTGAGTGTACTTTAGAAAAGAAACAAATGTGAGTGTGTGTGTTGGGAGGGGGGGGGGGGTTCTACCTTTCTTTTAAAGAACTTATTAGAAATCCTTTCAGGTTACAGTCAAGAAGAAATGTTCAATGGCAGTAGAAAAAAAAAAAAAAATAGTTTGAGAAAAACTGTGAGATAGGAAGGTTGGTTACCTTTTCTACAAGCATTTATTGAGATTCTGTCCATCTATTCCCACAAACATTAAAGGAACATATTATGAATATTCCTACTCCTTTTATGTTTGGTTTTCATATTTGTAATTGAAATTGAAAATAATTTAGCTTCTCAGTCACATCCAAACCTCCATTAAAGGAATATCAACTATGAAACTAGTATCTATTTTAGTAAAGATCTAGCAGTAGTATTGACGGTACCACAGTAAAAGAAAAAAAAAAAACGAGAAAAAAACAAAACAGAATTCTTATTTTCGTTGTGAAATACACCATAATGTGTTAAGATATTAAGTTTTTCTCAAGCAATAAAATGCTGAAGTTAAATCACATAGTTATCTTGAACAGACAAGATCGGGTGTACTTTCATGTAATGGTGAAATAACTTGATATGTCTAAACTGTTTCTGCTTTGAAAAGGTTATCAGTTTTCTAAGTCAGGCACCAATCAAAGGGATGTTTAAGCCCTTAGATTCACTCTATATCTCTATTCTTGTATGTGTGTTTTCAAGTGTGTTTGTTGTGTGTGTGTGTGCGCGCTTGCAGATACTGTTGTGTTTGCCTCTATGTAAACATATTCAGATGTGTGTGCATATTTATGTGAGAGAGTTTGAAGTGGGTGTGTCTTTGTATACATGCTTGTGTGCATGCTTAGTGCTGATTCAACATGAACAGTGCAATTGAGCATGTATCCTTGTAAGTCAACAAGAGTAATTCTGTGTGAATGAGTTGTTACTTATTTCCTTGAATTTTCAACAGGTTCATACTGCATTTCATTTATACAAGCAATAAAGAATAAATTTTGATAACCATTGCTGATACTCAGATAATGCTTTTCTATAATGGACTTTGTACTGACACTAAAACTGTACATTTCTCAGTCATGAGTGGCCTAGGCCACATTTGCATGTCTATTCCAGAAGATTCTTTTGGTGGGAGTTTATAATGGTATATCCTTCCATGCTCCATTTTTAGAATCATAAATGAAGGGCATCTTTCTAAGTAGGTCTTTCTTGGTGTTGATAAATTGCCCTCTTAGAATTGGGAGTGTGTGCTGAAACCCGGCTCTTTCTCAGGCGGTGGTTTGGTGGTTTCAACCAAGCTGCTAGATGTTTGCATCTTTCTAAACCCCTAACAGAGTAAGCACTCAACCTTCTCACTTGTAGTATAACTTTCCAAGCCAGAGTAACGTGATCTATCCTAACAGTAACAGTAAGGTAGCAGACTTGAAAGAGCTCTATGTAACTAGTTGATGATGAAGATAATCTTGCTTTAACACAAAGAGAATTTAGGGGAATTAACCCAATGCAGTTTGTCCCTCTTGCCATAGGTTTTCTTGAAGTCAGTATGATTTACCATGAAAAGATGTGACAGGACCTGGCCCATTATATATTCTTGGGAATAATTTCATGACGACCATGTTTGCTTTTTGGTGTTGTTGAAAGAAAGTTTTGTGGTTGCTTTTGCACATTCCATTGACAGCGTAATGTCTGTGTTGCAGGTTCAACAACCATCCCGTGCTAAATGACCGGTACTTGTTGCTCATGTTATTAGGAAAAGGAGGGTTTTCAGAGGTTCATAAGGTAAGGCTCATTTCTTATTTTGCCACATGATGATTAGAAGGTGAATAGTGATGCAAATATTATTTTGGAAGATTATTTATATGTCATTTGTGAAGACACTTATCTTACCAGTTGATACACTGGTTAGAGCAAATCACATTCATAATAGTTTGCACATTAAAAATTACATGCACAGTCACACATGACACGCAACTATATTACACCGTGTGTGCAATATTCATAATTTTTTTGGCTTTACAGGCATTTGACCTAAAGGAACAACGTTACGTAGCGTGCAAAGTTCACCAATTGAACAAGGACTGGAAGGATGACAAAAAGGCTAATTATATCAAGTAAGATTTGAAAATGTGGTGTAAGATATAGCCATGTAAAGCTTAGTTTTACAGATAATGCAGAATTTATCTGTGTGATGATTATGACGTGATCAATATGTAGATTTTGAGTTATATAACTAAATTTCCTCTGTTTCCACAGACATGCCATAAGAGAGTACAATATTCAGAAGAAATTAAACCATCCTCGTATAGTTAAACTCTATGACGTGTTTGAGATAGATGCAAATAGTTTTTGTACTGTCCTTGAATACTGTGATGGTCATGACCTTGACTTCTACTTAAAACAGGTAAGGAAATGGAAAGTACTTGTTGTTGTTGCATCCATAGTATCACTAAAGATAAAACAGATTGTAATGTGATTCTGAGTTTAATGAAAGTGTATTAGCATAGTTTTTGTATCAGACTGCACTGAAATATTTTGAAGAAGATTGTTTGTAGTTATTTTGTTTTTTCTACACAGCAATTTGTATGTGTGATCCTTAGATTGGGAATATTGTCTTAAATACATGTATAGGAAATATGTGTATACTAGGAGCCTCATGATTTATCTGATATATAGAAGGAATTCATGGAGGAATTTGTCTGTGACTGACATACACAGTGCAGCAAGCAAGTTGTATGACAGGTACAGTTAATGCACATAATGAGAAATAGAAAATAAATTTTTTATTACATTTATAGAAATTAATGCCCAAGTATTACTGGGTAACTTGATGTGATCATCTACAACAGCTTTAGAAAATAAGTTTTGTCATTTCATGTCAGGTTAGCTATAATAGGAGACAGTATTTTGTATTTATTTTATTTATGGGTTGATGTGTACGTACAGATACATGAATGATTTTCTCATGAAAGACCAATTACTCTGAAATCTGAAATGTTTTGAGGGTAATTATTAACCATATGCATAACTCCTCAATAGCACAAGACTATCCCTGAGCGAGAAGCAAGATCAGTGATCATGCAGGTGGTATCTGCGCTCAAGTACCTGAATGAGATCAAACCACCAATCATTCATTATGATCTTAAGCCAGGTAAGTTGTTTGCAAGTTTTTGTACATGTAACTTGTCGTCATTTATGTAAGAATGATAAGTTAACCTGTTACTGCTGGGTCAAGTGTATGGCTGTCATAACAAACCACTTGATCTGCCGGGTATGACTATACATGTGGTGACATGCTAGCCGTCGAGTGGGAAGTTCCGCTACATGGAGTGGACTCCCGCTCCCAGTGGCTGGATGGTCACCAGAAATATCCGGAGTTTATGATGCTGAGATTTTTCTAATACTGTCATTGAGGGATTAACCTGGTAATGATGATATTGTATGTCTTTTTGTGCAGCTGGTGTGTTATTATCATAACTTTTATGACATTATCAGAAAAAAAAAGAAAAAAGAATCAAGTGTCTTGAACAAAATCTGTTTTCTCCACATCAGTTGATCCTTTTATATTCACTTATGTGGCACATGATATGAAATAAGATACTTTTTAAACCATCCAGGATTCTCTCTCAAATACTTGTCTTAAGTAAATATATATTTTTTTACAATTAATTTAGTTTCTTTCACTACTACTCCCTTATTCTCTTTATAGTCTCTCTCCTCTCACCTGGTATTTCCTCTGCAGTTTCCCTTTCAGTAATCCATTTATTTTTTTTTCTCTCCCATAGGAAATATCTTATTGACCGATGGAAATATTCTTGGGGAAGTCAAGATCACAGATTTTGGTCTTAGTAAAGTCATGGACGAGGATAGTTACCATCCTGACTACGGGATGGACCTCACCTCTCAGGGGGCGGGCACATACTGGTGAGTAGCGATCCAACGACAAGATTTTATGCCATTGGATGTTTGTCCATTGGTGTAATTTTAGATTGGGCTTTGTACGCACTTGGCTCTTTGATTTCGTGTTCCCGAGTGTTATTGTTCATTAATTTTGGTGTATTATATTACCTCTTTTTTTTTCTAATCATTGTCTTTGTTGATATTAGTAATGTGGAAATATATATGATTTGTGTAGTTTCGAATTGTGTAGTTTGCATCAATATTGTCGTTACTGTATTTCAAGTTAAAACTATTATTTATTTTTCAACTAGAGTATTCCATGTCTGTATTATCATAATCACTGTTAGAACTCAATGCATTTGTTATATTCATGTCCATTTCTTGTTGATTCTTTATTAATATTGTAATTAGAATTACAATTTAGATTTACTCCATATGTTGAAATTAAGCATATGTTGAAATTAAGATTTTTGGTTGACATGATCATTACCCCCCATTAAAAACAGTTTTGCTAAGCCCCTGCCGTTCTCCCTCAGGTATCTTCCGCCAGAGTGCTTCATTGTAGGCAAAACTCCACCCAAGATCTCTAGTAAGGTCGACGTGTGGTCCGTGGGAGTGATATTTTACCAGTGCCTATATGGAAAAAAACCGTTTGGTCACAACCAAAGTCAAGCGACCATACTAGAGGAGAACACGATCCTCAAAGCCACAGATGTACAGTTCCAACCCAAACCAGTGGTCAGCAATGAGGCCAAGGTACGTCTTCCGTTGTTTTTATCGTTTCGTTGGCCTTTTTCCTCGTTTTGATGTTAGTGAGTTTTGTTATCTTCATCATTGTTTTTTAGTTATTTATTTGTTGTTATTATCATTGTTA